AAAGAATACAGAAATTAATTTATGTTACCCAGGGTGGGGGGGGGCAATGAATGAATGTGTGTGTGTGTGTGTGTGTGTGTGTGTGTGTGTGTGTGTGTACGTGTGTATCACTATGTGCCTGTTAACTTCTGTTTCATGACATATTATTTTGAGATTTAGTAAAAACACACCGGATAAGGATTGCATGGTAAAATCTCAGTGATTAAGTCTAAATCCTCCTATGAAAAACCTCAACTATAAAAGATAGGGTCGACATGCATATCCGTAGACATTCACTTGCAAATGATTTTAAGAATGCAATACTTACTTCAGGATTTAGAGAGGGAAAATCTTACTAGGATATCCTTGATCCCTTCTCTCTCCAATGCTTGGTTGAGAGCGAGGTCAATGACATTATCTCTAACACTGTAACATGTAGGTTATACAGAGGTCAAAGGTCCTGCTGATGACAATACTTATTTCTCGATATTAAAGATATTAGATATTCTATTATTAGGCAATAGGAATATTTTTAAATTTTCATTCAAAAAATTATTATAACCGCCCCCACCCAAGATTTAGTATAAAATAAACTAGAAGAGTTTTACTGACTTTAATGGCCCATTAGAGATAGCAGTAGGATAAAAAAATCTGTTCCAGGGTTTTTGCCAAAAGGTTTGAGTGGGATGGCAGTGTCTATGAGGTCAGGTTTAATGAGCTTGGACTAGCTTAGGGTCAGTGACCTCACAAACTTAGGACTTGTGCACAGAGGGCAGGGAAAAAGCCAACCCTGAATAAATTAGTGCGGAGGCTGGGAAAAGAGAGTTACTAGAGAATCTGTGGTTTCCAGAATGTACCCTGCCATTTTCAAGCCATGCTTCTTTGAGAGCATTTTAAAAATTATTCTCTTGTCATTACCCGGCCAGCTTATTTGGAATAAGGGGACAGATTTCACGATCTCTTAAGGTCACCAAAATGTTTGAGTTCTCAGGTAGGCTGAAATGCCAAGGAGGGCTAAATAATCCAAGGGTATATGTTGTTGTTTTTATTTCATACTGGAGGTGGAGATTTGGATTTACGGTAAAAGAACAATTCTTTTGTCTCTCTGTCAGGATGAAAAATGAGTAATAAATAACCATGTTACACTTAATTTTATAAAAGTGCAAACTAAGTGCAAAATTTTCCAAATTTTTAAATAGTGCAATGCAAGTGCTAAATGCTAATAGCCTTCACCTTTCTTTCCTAAGGAAGGTTTCTCCCACTTTTTTTCTATAGGCAGGATCCCGGGGCACTGACTCACACCCTGCTTTTCTTAGGGGATATGGAAATTTTCCTGGGACAGCTGTGCTGTGCTGGCTGAGGAGCCCACAAGGTTAATGAACACCCACAAAGACTGAGGAGGAGAGAGAGCATTCCTCCCTGGATGATTAGCATGCCCGCATTCTTTCCTCGGTGGTAATGATGGTCAAGAAGGTGCCTGGTGATAGAAGGGAGAATGGAGGGTTGCTGCTTCTTCTGCCTCAAACACTTATTAAAATTCATTTCCATTCAAATAGCCATCCTCTGATTTTCATCATCAAATAAGCACACACTGTACATATTTAACAGGCAGGAGACCTGTGCCGAGTTCATGTCTTTTTGAAGTGAAGGCCTGTTCTCTTAATGAGTGTCCATGCTTATCTCTGTATGCAAATTTCTCCTCCCCCTCCTCTCTCCTACCTCCTCCACTTTCCCCGATACCCCAGTTCTGGGATCTTTGATGGGCAGCCTAGATGCCTATTATAATGATAATTCATTTGGTGCCGAATGGAATCTCCTCCTCTAGTCTAGCTCATTATAAAGGTGAAGCCCTCGGGAGGGCAGGCTGGGAATGAACAGGTTTACAGAGTTATTTTTTCCTCGATGAGAGGCAGAGGCAGGATGGGAAGTGATTTCCTGACTTCTTTTGGCTTGGGCTTGGACTTGGGCTATTTTTCCCCTTTGGAGCTGCTCTCCATTCCCAGACGTGGTGATTGTCTTTGGGTGTTGTTCCCAGGGACCAGCATCAGCTGGAAGGCATTTCAGATCAGGCAGTTCTACAAGGAACAGCTGCTGGGAACAGCTGGGCCTGTATCACTGTTGTCAGTGAGAAACCAAGTGGCAAATGTGAGTGTATAGGACTATCATAAAGAGCATGCTGACCTGATCATTCACCATAGCAAAAAAATACTGTCTTCATTTGTGTGCGGGGTAGACCCTATGGTAAGGTTTATTTTATTTATTTATTTATTTTAACATAAGGGACATAAGAAAATTCTTTGAGGACTTTGAAAATCTCAGAGATCATGATCAGAAAGGGTATCAACAAAGCAACTATATTAATAGGGAGAGTTTTTACTCATGGCAGAATTGAATTTTTTTTCTAGAATAATTAAATTGTTTAATTATAATATAATTAAACCAATCAGGGCAGGATAACAAATTAGTTTCCTTTTATTTTCTTTTTGTCTTTCTCTCAATTGCCTTTGGTAAATAAATAAATACATAAAACTCAAACTTTCAGGTTTAAAATAACCTAACTCACTTTTGTGGGCTGAAAAATAGGGTGGGTTTTGTTGTTATTGTTTTTTTTTTTTCTTTTCATCTATGAAGAATCCTGATGGGGAGTGTGATAAAAGAAATTAGTTTCCCAAAACATATGCTGAAACAAAATATAAAATGAATGAGATCTAGGGTAAATCAAAGCAAATATTTCTTGCCCGAGGTCTAGTTCTTATGATTTCTTTCTTCTGTTGAAACATATTGCAGCTCCTAATTTTAGAAACTTTATTATTTATAGGAAGCTCTTTCCGATGAAGCTGCTTCCTTGTTTTTCACCAAAGAAACTGGACAAGTTCAGAAAGTTTGTCTCATCTCCTCATCTGACTATCTGCAGAAAATACCTGCCCCAGGATTCTGAAGTAGCTGCCAGAAGCTCTCTTCTAACCCTTAGGAGCCCCAAGAATTGGCTGGCCCAGCATAACTTAGCCACCAAGTGGCCTGACAATATCTGGTTCTTTATTGCTTTGGCCACATTGTTTTTCACTTTGGGAATGCCACTCATTGCTTGTTGAACAATAAGAATAAAGTTGTATAGATGTAGAATTATTAGAGTAGCTGCTTCAGCTCATCAATATCAAGGCTGGCAAACATTCCCCTTTCTTATCTGTAACAAAAACCAACCAAGGCGATATGTGAAGGATTCCGGGAGAGGCAATATGGATGAAACCATTTATTAGATTTATAAGAGCTGAAGCAAAGTGCTAAAGCTATCCATCTTCTATACTTTATTGAGAAAAGGACCAATGACTCAGACTATCAGGACAGTATCTCCAAGGCAGAATTGAAATCTTAAAGTAAGCAGAGAATAAGCGTATACATTTTAGGAGAAGAGGGATCAAAGGCAGGAGTAAGAAATGCATGTAAGGCTCTAAATACATTGAATACAAATCTGTCTGTAGCAGTTATGCAGCAACATAACTTTGTAAATAAAGATCTCATTTCAGAAGGCTTTAAAGATTTATTTCTTTTTTCCTCCATTGGAAATCGTAGCTCCAAACATCAGGTGACAGTAGGCAAAATTATTACTTGGGTTGTTTGAGGTGCATGCTTGTGAATAAATAAAACCAAGAATTATGTGAAGAACAAATAAATACCATTTAATTGAGAAACTGGGTAAGGTGGCTCTCTTCTTTTTGATGTAATGAAATTATTTGAATTAGTCAAATTGACTGAGACAAAAAAAAAAACCCAGATTTTTCTATTTATAAAAATGTCCTGAAGCACATGTGAGTTTAGCAAACAAAAGATATTTGCTTTAGAATTTTGACAATTTAAAGTGCTCTCATGTTTACTACTACTACTACTACTACTACTACTACTACTACTACTACTACTACACACACACACACACACACATACACACACACACATGTATACATATTTAGTTCAGATTCTGATTTCAAAATCCCTTTTTGGCTCTAATTGACAGAGCTGATTTCAGGCCCCACTTTGCTGTTTATAGCATATGTGATGTAGGACAAACTCAGTTTTATTAGCTGTATAATGGAAATAGCAATATTAGTCTTTAATGCAATAATAAAACTTGATAAGGAAATGAAAGCTGTCAGTTCAGTGCTCAATAATAAATGTTGACTGTTATTATTTAGAAAATTGGGTGACAGAAGCCTGGATCATTCTAGAAGTGAGCTATGCAAAAGCAAGAAGAAAGCTGTGAACCAGACATATCTGATCATTGCAGAGAATTGAGGCTAAATTTTGAATTCCATTGAAAATATATTAACTGAGCATCTACAAGTTTCAAGTTATGAATTTAATGTTCTCCTATAGTCTATATTCAAGTAATGGAAATAAGAAATCTACACAGCTTCCTTTGTTCCAAGACAGAAAGGTTCATTTATTTAACAAATATGTATTGAATATCTGGCAGATACTCGTTTATGTGGTAGAGATTCAGCAGGGAACAAAGCAGATGAATTGCTTTACTTGGTGGAACCAGGAACATTTGAATGAATGTTCTTTGATTTGGGAAGAAAAAAAATTTAAACTTTATAGCAAATAGTAATAGTGATTTCTGAACAAATATCTTCGAGTCACATTGCTTCACTTGCGTCCATCCAACAAGCATAAGTAAAATTGTGATCCATTTTTCAAAATTAGAAGATGATTAGAGACAAAATTTTACAGACAGACATAAAGAGATGAAATCTGAAAAGCAAAAAGTGCACACTTCACTGTGTTTCCTCGACTTATTCTCATATCCATTAAGCTTTTCTATTTGACATAAAGATAATAATTTTCTCTATGTATCCATATCTTTATTTATATCTTTCTTTCCATCCCTCAATATAAATTTCCCCAGGAATAGTGTATCCAAGCTAAGTTCTTTCATAACTGAGTCTATATTTTATCTTCTGACTTGCCTGCTTGGCATGTTTCAGCTCCTTTATTTCCTCTTCTAGCTTATAGCATGGCCCTCCTGCATCATCTCTCCACAGTACCCAAGACAGTTTATATGAGGTAAACAGATCCAATGATAAAATAGTACCCAATGATGCTGACCTGACTCTACCAATCTCCCTGAGGGCACAAGGTTGAAACCTGATGTTAGAAAACATAATTATTAGCAAATCTGGTAACATAATTGGAATCATAATTTTTAAAAGTATTTTTGTTTATTGGATAGGAACATTTGTCCTTGGTGTGCTTGAAGATGTCAAGCATCCTGGGCACTCTTGATCTTCATTGAGTTTTGAAATCCCAGGAGAAAAGGAACAAGCTAGATGTCCCCCCGCAAATGAAGATGAATGCATGTAACTGTCATTCAAAACTTTAAATATTCCAAGTTGCCATATGCCATGAGGAGTCTGCTCCTTGTTTGAGAGAGGAATAATGTGTGTGTCTCTGTCCATGGTCCCAAAAAGGCTACCTTAACTTGCGATGTGACAGAGTCCTTAATAACAGCAGTAGTAAATATTAGAAAAGCACACCGGAAAGCAGCCTTCTGACTTAGTGCTGTATCTCAGAGATACATGTGCTTCATTGATAACCATTTTTCATAGTGCCAATTTACTAACAGTCTCTTTTTAATTATCATCCTCCCGCCCTCTCTCTCTCTCTCTCTTTTTTTTTCTCTTGATTGGCATTGGGTCATGGGAAGAAAATGCCAGAGTTTGCAAGGAACGTGTATGTATTAAAGGCAGATGGTCGAACCGTAGCTGCAATTTGTCACTTCCTATTATAAAATCTTATTTCAAAGATTTTACAACTCAACCATTAAAAAAATTATACTGTTGGATAAAACTTAGGAAAGAAATGACTCTTTGCAGGCTAATTAGGAGAAAGTCTTGTAACCTACAAGATATGCTTCTGGAAATAAGGCAATAATGAACTTTAAGTGCCTAACTATCCACTATTCATTGTATGGAATTATAATTTGAAAATTGATAACCCAGTAGTGAATTAAAGACTTTGAACCTGAGTTGTATAGCTCTAACCAATTAGAATTGGTATTCAGCAAAAAAACACTGACAGCAGTACCAAGAAACAGCTGAGATGTTGAAGTTCATGGGCCAGCTCTTATGGATTCCTGTCCCTTTTTACCAATATCATTATGAGGAAGAGGGCTAGTGAATTAAGAACAGAAAACCTAATGCTTGATGCTTTTGAAAACATTAAGTAAGATGACATTACTTCATCTTATACCAGACCCACCTGAACCCTTTTAGAATAGCTATAGGAATTTCTTTAAAAAATAGAATTGAGTAAAAACCAGGGCAGATCCAAATTCAAGATTTCTGTTCTTGTATCATAAAGTGATTTGGAAATCTCTAGTTCAATGGAAAAATGAAAAGACAAAGTCTTTTTTTTTTTAAATTTTAATGGAGTGGTCAAAAAATAATATGAAATTCTAATGTGAAAAAATATTTAAAATATATTTCAGATACCTATAACAACTAAAATGTTGGTTCTAAATCCTAAATTGCTAGTATTTGATTGTAAATTCTTTACAGCTGTGACCATCCAGATAAAAGACCATAGAAATGATATCTGTATGAGAGGGCTTCACTAATTCTCGTGAATGAGTTAATTTATTAATGATATACATTGAGCTCTTAGAACAAAGATAAAGCAAGCCCTCTACTACAAATGCATTTTTTTGTTGTTGTTGTTGCTGATGTTTTTTTCTTTATTGTTGTCATTACAACTGATAAGGTCAAAAACTCATCCTCCAGGCAATATCCTTAATTTATCAGTTAATTATAATTAAGAGAGCTACTTGGACAACCTCTTTCCTCTTTTTTTCTTCTCTTCCTCTTGTCCTTATAATCTTAGACTAAGTTACTATGGCTTAAATAAAAGTTAAATGTGAAAAGGTAAAATGATCTCTCTGTATGATCTAATAGTAACAGAGTGATCTTTGATTCAAATAATAAAATATATCAAAAAGATAGTCAGCCTTTTAATCTGGAATCCAAAGGATAAAGCAATATTCTGTTCCTCACATGGTAGTGGGACTAATAAGACCTATCTTAAGGAGTGTGATGAGAATTTAATTAAATATCTTCAAAGTGAGGAGCACAATGCTTGGCATTTTTGTGTTTAAGTGTTCTTTAATAATCATTTTATTACTGTTCTTATTCTTTTTCTTATTTTTTCTCAGTGGGACCAGAGTGAACATAGAGATCTCAGATTCTGAAATTGAACTTCAAGTAGACATCAGAGGGTAAAACTGCTTCGGCAATCTATCCTGTCTGGGTGATAAAATTCATTCAATCTTCAAGGCCCAGAGAGTTCTCATGCCAGGTCCCTCTTCATCCCTGTGTCCCTCTCTGATGCCTTCTTCCTTATACCAAGTGCACTTATAACTTGCTCAGTCAGCCATGGGGCATGTGAAGCTACTACACTCATCAGGGTAGAAGCTCCTATCTGCTAGTGATTTATGGATTTCAGGAATCATTGCATCCAAAAAGACCCTGCTAAACATAAAGCTCCAAATTTCAGGGTAGGGCTGGGGATGTAGCTCAGTGGTAGAGGGTGTGGTTAGCATGTTCAAGACCCTAGGTTTAATCTCTAGTGCAAAAAAAAAAAAAAAAAAAAAAAAAATCAGGATAGCCTCTACGTTGTTGTTGTTGTTTTTTTTTTCTTTACTCCTCGATGGCTTTTTTCCTCTGCTCCAAACTATAGACCACTCTTTCTCTCTGATATGGTTTGGATGTGAGGTGTCCCCCAAAAGCTCACATGTGAGACAATGCAAGAAGGTTCAGAGAATAAAGGATTGGGTTATGAGAGTCTTAATGCGAGACTAATTAAGTGAATTAATCACCTGCTGGGATTAATTGAGTGGTAACTGAAGGCAGGTGGGGTGTGGCTGGAGGAGGTAGAGCATGGGGGCATGGCTTTGGGGTATGTATTTGTATTTGGCAAGTGAAGTCTCTGTCTTTCTGCTCTCTGATCATCAAGTGAGCCTCTTCCTTCTGCCTCACTCTTCTGCCATGATGTTCTCTCTGCCTCACCTGGAGCCCCAAAGAATGGAGCTGGCTGTCTATGGACTGAGACCTCTGAAACTGTGAGCCCATAAATAAACTTCTTTCTCCTCTACAGTTGTTCTGATCTGGTGTTTTAGTCACAGCTGACTAAAACACTCTTCCAATGGAGGAAGCTTGCATGTCTAGTTTTTAATTGGATTCTGTGAATCTTCTATGCAGTCTAGGCAGCCTTCAACATGCTACACATCCTTGATCCTTGGTTTTCTGTTGCTTATCATCTTCTTAAATTTGTTTTGTTTTTCCCCTAATATAAATTCTATGAAAGTATCTTTGTTTCAAGCTTTATAAGGTAGGTGTCGCCCTATAAATGTCAAATTGTATGTGGCCTGATTTATAATTTCCCTCCATGTTCGATCTTCTAACACCAACTCTTTTTACTTGTTTTGTTTTATTTTACTTCTAACTTTACAAGAAAAACATCCTTAGGTATGTAGTGAGCTCATTACATAATGTGTTTAATTCCCTATTAATATTATTGTTGCTTTTGCCTCAGTCAAGTAAATATACAAAGTTTCTGAGTGTTTATACCACAACTCAAGGAAACTGATGGAAGTATTCATAACCCAGG